GGGGGGGGGGGGGGGGGGGGGGACTTGATACGAGGTGCTCTTCACAAGCTGGACTGGAAAACTATCGAGCGAGGTAACGTGAGCTTCTACCGCCGCTCTTGGTGGGACAGCAGTCATCGCTCAAGCCAAATTTCATCGGAAACGAATCAAAACTCACGGCCAACGGCAACAAGACATACTCCAATACGAAAAATGCGTACCATCCACGTTAAACGTAACGCCCCCCCCCCCACCTAGCACACTGAATGGGACAGCGTTCAGGAAGTACATCCCCTTATCTTCCTCTCCCCCCCCAAAACCCACCCAAATCTTTCCGCCAGCTTCGTCGCCCACTCGTCCCCAAGGTACTCGCAGACAGCCTCCAGGGCGCGCTGCTTGCATTCCGCTTCCACCTCCTTCTGCCTCCTCGCGTCCATCGGCGCCGCAATCGCCTGAAAATCTCTAGCAAACCCTGCGCCTCCCGCCGCCGCGCCCCCGCCCGCCCAACCGGACTCCTCCCCCCCCCCGGTCGCGAGCTCCGTGAATCTCCTCGTTGCACGCTCGACCTTAGCGGCGAGCCAAGCCAGAACGGATTGCTCGTTGATTCGGACAAGTAGATCGTCTGGGCCCATTCGGTCTGCGACGATACCGGCCAAGAACAACCATGGCGTCGGACAAAGAAAATTCGACGGGAGTCTTGACGGCGGGGATCTGTTGCGCAAGGTGTAGTCTACCCTCGCGAGAACAACCGCCCGTGCCCAATATCGCAGGCGTAAAATAATTACCTTGGTGTCATGGTACGGTGTGCATACATATATGCCTCATGTGTGCGCTGGGCCGATTGATGCAAAGTGGAAGAAAAGGGTAAAATAAACGTGTCTTCTCGCGTGTCAGCTCCACAAGCCGACCGGCATGCTTCGGGCGCGGGGGGCGGAGGTTTTGGGTGCTGGACAATTTGAAATTCAGGCAAGGTTTTGGTCATGCGGTGTGGCACTGTCTATCCCCGTTCGCTCAAACGTTTCTTCAAGTGGACGCTGCCTATCGTCGTGCGCTACCAGACACAGAGCTACAATACCTCTTTCTCATTCTTGCGCCTCTTTTGAAACATGCTATGATATGGACCAAAGAACAACTTGCACTGTAAATGTGGCAGGGCACACAACGCCAGCCCCCGGATCCACCACCCACCGTTTACATCGCAAAGCTTGTCTGCGTCGAGATGCCTGAGGCCCCTCAAGCTGCCGCACCCCCCCTCCGCCATGGCCTGGGCTAGCGGGCACCACCGGGTGGCGTGCTTCGCCAGCACGGGCAGGAGGAGGAACAACGGGTCCACCCTCGAGGCGGCGTGGACGGCGCCGTCTTGCTGGACGGCCTGGTCGATGAAGAAGCTGGCCAGCTCCTGGGGCTCGCGCGGCCGAGCCACCTGGAGCTCGAGCAGGTTGTCTCCAACCATCATGAACTTCGTCGCCTCTCCTTTTGGATTGTTGTACACACGAGTAGAGGGAGAAAAAGTTGTCGGCGGTCGTGAAAGGAAGAAACGAAATCGAGCAAAACTCCTTCGACTGTAGTTACATCTCAAACGGGTATACGGTCTTTCTGTGTTATTATGTCTATTTCTACGAAAATACGAAAGAGAACAAGAAGAACCTTTGTATCTGGTAAGCCTACCAGCACCCTGGGATGGAGCACGGCTTGATACTTGCGGCCGGGGTCGCTGGGGGCGTTGTCGTCTGTGTGCCCGCTTTGCTTTTTATTTTTATTTTTATTTTCTTTAGATGGAGCTGCAGGTTTTGTTGTTCGTGTTGATTACAATAGAAGGTAATGAAGATACTGGGGTATAAATTTGTACCAATTACCCATGCAAATTTGCCGCTACAGAAGAGGTGAAGTGAAGCCTCTAATGCTTTGTGTCCCCAGATAGTTTAGGCAACATGGATACGTGAATCGGTGCTTTCCAGCAGGCGGGAGAACAAAAAAACACCGAGCTTCCCAGCTGTCAAGCTTTCTGTCTGCTCACGAGAGAAACGTAGGGCGCGAGGGCCTTCTGGATACGCCCCCTCTTTTTCCATAGCAGTATAGCAGTGTACCCGGTACTACGTTGCTACGCTTCGTCGCATAACAATAAGTGCAGCAGTGAGAATGGCTGTTCTGGCGGGTGCCGCGGATTCTGCGGCTCTCCACCGGCAAGCATCCCCTGTAGCCGTACCGCCGCAGCCACAGCGGTGGCGGCCCCAGCTTCGCTTCGGCAGTCGTCAACCACACCAGCGGCGACGGGCGTGAAGTTGACGACGCGGGTGAGGTCCTCGGTCAGCGCCGTCCCTTCAGTCGGTGAAGACCTCGGGCATTCTGCCTCAGTCCGTGAACATTTTGATGCGACGGGGGCGCAGACAGCAGTAGTCTCCTGCCTTAAATGACATAAGATAACACGCCCCCTGGACCAATTTTCAAAGCTCGATTACGCCACGACGAATAGGAGGCATAAATGAAACAATACACTTTCGGAAGGCTCTCGACGAGACAGCTTCACCACCACCGTTTTCGGCGCTGTGACTCTTTTAGCTGTTGAGAAATCGAGATTTGAAAATTGGTCCAGGGGGTGTGTTATCGTGTGTCGTTTACGGTAGGCACCTCGCACTGGACCCGCAGGCCACGGCCAAGACAACCGACCACATCACGGCGGACGTCGCGGCCCGGGCGGTCGCTGCGTTTGTCTCCGTCCAACGGCGTCACCCAGGCCGCCGACGCCACCGGAAAGACCCACATTGTTCACCTGTGCGAATTACCTACACGACTGCATGGGGCGGCACGGCAGCACCAAAAGCTCCGCCGACATGCTGGGCAACGCGTAGAAAGAAAAAGACAGGCATTATCCGCGGACCTGGCACTATTACAGTGGTAGGTTCGTTTTTCTTTTGCTGTACGTCTAAAGGAGGCCCTTTCCCGCTAGAAATGTTCAAAGTCAATGGTATGCCATGGTACATATTCCACACGCTCTTGCGAAAGGCTCATGTTTTGGGGACGGGGCGGTAGGTAAGGAGCAACTAGGGGTGGTATCCTCCGTACATTCATGGTTCTTTCAAATACAGCAGGCATAAATAGACTACAGTATGCATATATTGCTGCACTCGGTCTCTCTTGACCCTCAGAATAACGACGCCATCCCTGCTTCTGTGATCGGTGTACCGACGCCACAAGTACTGAGTGCAGTCTACCACCCGTACATTCTCTTGGCGCAAAGAAGTGGTTTGCACTCGACAGAGAGTCACAGAGCGACGCGAGCGCGCGGGCGAGAGAGGAGAGCTGTCGGCCAGGATACCTAGACCATGCTGAGACGCTCTTTGCAACGCATGACTGCTGCATGTAGATTGCCTGTTCCATATGCAGCGGCCTGGCGCTCTCTTGCTGTTTGTCTTTTTGTCAACGCTCAACACACTGGAGGTACTGCTGACATGTGTACAGAAGTAGACAGCACTAGACGCCATCTGACCTGTGCGTGGATGAACCAGCCCGACCACCTTCGCAACCAACTCGCTGTTTCTCCCCTTTGAATCTTTTAGCGATGAAACAGCAAATGCCTCGTCCTGCATCAAATAGACATGCTGGTGGGCCATGGCCGCAGCGAAATAGGGTACCGGTCGTGAGCGGTAGCTCAAGTACGTTGTACTCGCGGACTGAAGTGGATCAGATTTGGAAATTTGAATTTCGAAACTGGGGGCACCGGGATATGTATGTATGTACACAGACTGCTGTGGTTGCATGCATGGTCTGCACCGAACGGGGGATTAACGACGCACACGAGGCCTTTTTCCTCGACCTCGACCTCGACGTTCGACGCCCGGGGGCAATCCGTTGTATCGCCGTTCCAGTAATGACAGCGACATCGTCCCATACAACAGGACTTTGCTGTTGCTGTTCGATATCCACATCAACATCAAAGTCTCAGCCTACGTCAATATCGTCTCCTGCTGCATGCATGCATGTATGTTCGTTCGCGTAAGTCCGACTACCGAAGTTCATACTTTTCTGTAACACGATGCAATGCACTGCTGTACCATAGTTGAATAATTATCCTCCCAGACAAATGTAGACCAGACTAGTATTGTTCTGCCCAAAAAAATACTTTGTTTCTCCCGCACGCTCTCTCCCACGCTAAAGTTCTGTTTTCACCTCTTCAATGTTCCTCAGGTACGTACATACAACATTTGCAAAGGGCCGGACCGTTCAACACTCGCATATAATTACGGAGGTGGCTGGAGACACGTCCACACCGTCAAACAAAATGGAAATCGTTGCGTTGCTTTGAGTGCCACGGAAGTCGCGTGGCGTACGATCATCCACGACATGCAAATCCGCCAACAACCTGCTGCTGAAGGTGACTGCACCATACGCAGAATATCCTCCATTCTCGAACCGCCATCTTTACTACTACGTACGATGACGTTGAGGCACCGTTCCTTTCATGTATCTCTTGTTCTTGCCCGAACCAAGTAGACTATTCCAATCAACTACGTAGTCTAGACTAATACTGATATTTTTTCCCAGTACATTTTCATTACTATCTCTTCAACGGGAGAGCCTCCGGTGTAAGTACGGATAAAACTTTGCATTCCGCTCCATTCAAGACCCTACGTCGTTTCATAATGGGAAGGGCGTGCTACTTCGCTTATAGTCCAATTACTTCCGTTTCATTCAACATCCGGCGTCGTCTCATACCGGGTGGGAGGATACCCCTTCGCTTACTATGGGTCTGATAACTGAATTTCATCTGGGACGTGGTGCGCGAACCGTGCATCCTCGGTTGGAGGGAACCCCGACGAAGCGACAGAAAGATCACTTGCGCTTCACGTTCGTCTTCTCCACCTCATAATACCAACCACATCTTGCACGTTATTTATCCATCCATTCCTGCCATTACATGCACCACATGCTCTACACCTCATCGGTCAGGGCGGTATGAGCGTCATGTTTGTCTCGGTCTCAACCGACCATACCACCATTGGCCGGCGCCTACCTTCCGACGTGCGGAGGTTGTTCCCATTTTTTATCTCCTTACCTTCATCATCCTCAACAACATATGTCTAGACTACTCGTCGCACCTTCCTGTTCACAATCAATCAATCAACAGGTACTTCCCAATGAGCCGCGGACCGCCAACCGCGACCTTCTTCTTCCTTAACATCAGCATCTTCCAACCTTCACACATCTTCGATGGGTTCATGTTCGTGAGTCTGCGAACATTGCTGTTGGATACATGTGCTGGATGATTTAGTGTCACGCAGACCGGTAAGATAACCGTTTGATAGGGGGCACCGCGATGATTCACGGGGCCCCTCCTTGCTGTGGGAGCCGCTCTTTGAGCACTCCCTCTTTCGTCCGTGTGAAGGATGGTCGTCTACCTCCCGTGAAGTTAATACATCACCAAAACAGTCTCACCCGNGTTGGACCAGCCGGAGTGGGCCCGGGCATAGGACCGGACTACGGGGAAGCGAGGGGGTTGAACCCCCCAGGTGAGATACCCGTCATTCGAGGGAATAGAGAATACCTCGACGGCTACAGCAGTAGCCACCAGAAAAGGGTGACGGTCAATGCCCCGCTTCTAGACGGGAAAAGCCGTAGCCACGGGTTTGATTCGTGGCGCAAGTCGTTCATCCAAGCTGCGAAGACCATCGACTTGGACGGGC